GGCGGTGTTCCGTACATCGGGGTGGGGTGGGGCCGCCCCTCCCCATCCCCCTTTCCATAATCCCATTCATTGCTTTATGGCCTGTCTGTCAGCCGCGCACATCGGCCTCATCGACGCATACTTACCACCTATCACTATGTGGTCAGTAGGCAGGTCAACATGCGATCAATGAAGAAGTGCGGGCGAGCGCCCCCACTCACACTTTTCGACCAAACAAGAAGGTTGTGCAACAGCATATGATGGGGTTAAGTAGGGGCATAGCGTCATCATGCTTTTAATCCACTTCCAAGGATCTCTCGTGGGGAAAGTCTACCGCGACAGTACAGAAAGGCCTCCCATGCAATAGCGGGGAAGGACAGATATCGCGGGGAAACCGTACTGCAGGTCAACGGCCCCCGCTCGCCCCCGAGTACGTCTCAGCCTAATAGGCTTACTTTTACTACGGCACGTCGCGTCTCCCAGCTATAGTTGTACACCTGACTTACTGCCGGGCGCCTCGCGCGAGCGACGAGCACGACAACAAGGGCTGCATTGTTCTGCTTCTCCGGTATTCGACACGGCAAGGTAAGGTTCTGCGGCCGTTAAGTGCCCCCCGGGGGGACAAGGGGGGGTGGGGGGGGACCTACCTGGACAAAGCATGCTATGGCCGTCTTAACGTTTGTTCATCAGTGAGGCCAGGTGCGCGAGGCCGGCGAGCAGCGCGTCGCGTCAGTACGGCTTCGGTCACCCACCCGCCAGCATCACAGCTACAAACCGCTCGCGTCTCCGTCTTTCAAATACAAACAGCCGGAATGGGAGTTTCAAGACTAACTAGGTAGGTGCAGAATATGCGTCAAAATGTGCCACGCCTTCCGACTGTCGAATGTGTATCACTAATACGTGTCTCACAGCAGGTCTGAACCAGAATCGAGGCAGAACCTCCCAACTGGACCCGAAGTCATGGTGAAACAGGAGCTGCTATGCTGGTGAGTTCCTCAACAACCGAAGTTCAAACCTATGGTGGTCTTTTTATTGGCTTTATAACTGGCCAAGACTGTCTGCCAGTGAGTAAAG